TCTGCGTTTTTAGTTTTCTCGAATCTGCAATATTGTGGATGCAACAGATTTTCGTCCTTTGTGGGGGCGGAAGGGGGTGGGGCGAAATTTTGACACAAAAGGGTCAAATTTGGGATACCAAATTTGGTTGCTCTGGCTCTTATAGGTTCTGAAATCCTTGAACTCATATTTTGCAATTGGCAAAACCATGAAACCTGTGTGTTAGAGAGAGACAGAGCGAGAAAGAATGAAATTGTTTTCTTGATTATGGCTCTAATAATTATAAGATCTGGGTCAGATTTTACACTCTATAACATATAGTCGTCCTCTACCATTCTATGTTTTCAGTTTTCAGAAATTGTGGATGCCTCAGATTTTCGCCCTTTGTGGGGGCGGAAGTGGGCGGGGCAAAGTTTTGAAATATTCTTGTAGCAGTGACATATCACAGAAGTCTGAATCCAAAACATCGTTGCTCTAGCTCTTATAGTCTTTGAGCACTAGGCGCTGAAGGGGACGGACAGACGGACAGACAGACATGGCTCAATCGACTCGGCTATTGATGCTGATCAAGAATATATATACTTTATGGGGTCGGAAACGATTCCTTCTGGACGTTACACACATACACTTTTACCAGAAATCTAATATACCCAAATACTCATTTTGAGTATCGGGTATAAAAACACTCACAAGAAACATCTGCGTTCCTTCCCATACAATAAGAGTACCACTGCTAGCTATATAAGGATATGCATTTGTTTCATAAACTTCTGTATCAGAAATAGTACCCCAACTGCCTGTCACTCATTTCCCATCGCAATCATCAGAGGCTGTCGCCGTGTCTTTAGATCCTCCTTTGCGAACCGTAGGATACCAACTCCGCAGTCCAACTGGTTCAAGTTCTAGTTGCGACGACAAACTGTAGACGATTTATGTAGAAATGCACTGTGATGCAAGCGCTTTTGGCTTCGAGGCACTGTTACTTCAAAAGAAAGACGACGGAAAACTGCATCCAATTTTTTATTTTTCTGAGCGAACAACTGAAGCGGAATCAAAATATCACAGCTTTGAGCTGGAAACAATGGCCATTATTTACGCATTACGCAGGTTTCGCATATATTTATAAAGAAAACGGTTCAAGACTCAACAATAAGAGCAATGATTACACGAGAGTTCACGTTTCGTTAAAAGACTGCTCTAAAGTCATACAGCAAACCCAAATGCATTATTTTCAGATCGAGGGAGTTGCTTCAAACGAATGCGACGAGTTCATGACAGAGACTAACAAACACATTAAAATTGCTATAGGATCGCCTCAAGCAAATGGTCAGGTGGAAAGAGTCAATAGAAGCTTTCGGTCAATGATAGCGAAATTAGGAGAACCAGAAAAGGGTATACATTGGGATGCAGTGATAGACAGAGTAGAACATGCTATAAAGAACACACAGCACAGGAGCACAAAGCAAGTGCCTTGTAAACATTTACTTGACAAAGAACAGAGAGGAAAAGTTGTAGACGAATTTAAAGAAAAACTAGAAGAGTTAAATTAAGTACAAGAAAACAAAGATTTAACAGAATTAAGAGATAAAGCGGCGAAAAATAGCTCAAGAGTTCAAAATAAGCAATATGACAAGGGCTTAAAGAAACCTAAGGAGTACAAGGAAGGAGACTATGTGATGGCTAAAAATTGTGATTGCACAGTGGCAGTATCTAAAAAATTAATCCCCAAAAAACAAAGACCTCTATGTAATCGAAAAATATTTAAAAAATTACAGATTTTTTGTTAAAAGATGTAGAAGGTTTTCAAGTATACCGTAACCCGTATCAAGATGTTTGGTGTATCAAAAACATAAAACAATGGATAGGTAACAGAAAAAAGGCTAATATATATATAAGAAAAAAATTTAATACTAAATATAACACAACAACGTTGTGAGTTGCTGCGGAGACCGCGAATCTACATTTATACCCGATACTTAGTCAGTATGGTTCTGATAGGGACGGACGGACGGACAGACAGAAAGACAGACAGGGCTCAATCGACTCGGCTATTGATGCTGATCAAGAATATATATACTTTATGGGGTCGGAAAACGATTCCTTCTGGACGTTACACACATCCATTTTCACCACAAATCTAATATACCCCAATACTCATTTTGAGTATCGGGTATAAAAATTGTAAGCCCCAATAGAATTCCCTTCCCTGTATAGTCGAATGAAGAAAGCTCGCTTGAATTGGTGTAAAGACCAATTGGGGTGAATCTGAGTAGTCTCGAATCATTTTCTCGGACAAGTCCAAATTAAATCTCATTAGACCCTATGCTTCGCGCAAAGTTCGCAGTAGAAGAGGAGAAAGCTATTCCAAAACTTGATAAGTGATAAATAAGTCATTCTTTTACGTTTTGTTATTTTTAAAAATGTATTCAACTAGTTGGGACTATTTTCAACGACAGATTCAACTTTTGAAGGCGGAATGATTGAGGTAGCGGAAGTTATAGAAGAATTTTGGTGGGAGGATATAACTGATGTATATCTGAAGGCTTTTTACGATTCGATGCCCAATAGGTTAAAATGTGTAATAAAAACCAAGGGGTACCACAAAATATTAATTAATTTCTAATATTTCTAATGTTTCTAAGTTATTATAATTTTACTGCATTTTTTGTCCTTTGTTTGGTCAAATTATAAAATAACCGTTGAAAAAAGTGTTATTTGGAAAATTATTTGTTTTTAATAATATGAATATGACATACAAAAATGTAGTATATACTTTTGTAAGAAGTTGATTTATTGACACAAAAAAAATTTAGACGAATCGAATAACATTTAGGGAAACCCCAGGCTAGATAAGTCGAAAATATATAAAATTTCAGAGTGCTTTTTTTTTGTCGCTAGGTGTAAGTGGCCCATGCGACACTAAACCGAAGCCTATTACGAGCGGATCCCAGACGAGACGCAGCCCTCCTCCTTTCTAATCAACCGAGGGGCGCTGTCGCATAACGCGTATAAAGGAACCGGTCTCTTATTTACAGGAAAGATAGATATTAATCTAATATTCAACGATAATTATAACGAAATTTTCAAAAGAGCTAAGCATGCATTCAAAATACAAATATTTATACCAATTACCACAATGCTAGAATAAGTAATTTAGGACGAGGTAATTAGTAGTATATATATTGTAATATGGTAAAAAGAATTCTAATCCGAGCCTAAACGGTTTATGCTAGGAATAATTCTATCAACAAAACGGAAGGGACAACGATATATAGTAGTTTTTAGCCTAGATAACTCTTTGGTAAACCAAAGTTTTTCAGATCTAATCAAACAAGAAAGCGGGACACAGTGATCAAAAAATGTGCCAAGTGCATTATAAAAAATGTTTGTGCCTTTTATAACCAATCAAAATCCCTAATGTAGTTATGAACCTTCGCAAACTCGGCTATACGACAGCAGCGAACACGTTTAGATAGACTACCCGACCGATCCAATTCAGTCGGTCCTATATCGAGCTTCACTTCGAAAGTAGGATTGTAGACGTCATCAGTTATACTGAGCGGAATAGCTCGGGTTAGCATAGATCAAGCAATCGACCCAAGGTTTTCAAAGGGTTGACGTGAGACAGTGACAGGTCAAGCAAACCGTCAATAAAATCATGTCGTGACATGAGCACTAGGTTACTAGACTATTTTACCGTTGACTAGTACCTGGCAAATTTAACTCACTAACTAACTTAACTATTATATGAGCTTTATCTGATAGCGAAATTAACAAAGTTTTTATAGCGGACAGGTGCTGCTCGTATAATAAGATTTCCTAAAACAGCGGAATATACAAGCATATAATGAAGGTGGAAAAACTACGAAGAATCAGTCTTACACAGAAATTCCAGTTATTGTCGAACATGGACTGTGAAATGTCCCGACGTAAAGTTCTGTAGTCGGAACAACGTCGATAGAAACGGTCATTTATAAAAGTTGCAAAAACTTTGGAACGAAGGATGTCCGGCTTCGGTCTAGGTAAACAAAATAACGTGGAATGAAATTGCGACACTATCCGGGAAGAGAAGGTTGAGCTTACTGCGTAAGCCTGAAAGCACGGAAAGATGAGGATGTCACATTTGACTGATTTTGATTAGGGAGATTTATTGGGGCCCTCTGAGCCAACAAATAGCATCGAATTGAGCTGGAGAGACGACTTTTAAGCTTAATAATTATTATTATTATTAATATTAAAAATCATATAGAAAATCAAACTGTTTTTTGCTTAAATTTTTTTATACCCGATACTCAAAATGAGTATTGGGGTATATTATACTTGTGGTAAAAGTGTATGTGTGTAACGTCCAGAAGGAATCGTTTCCGACCCCATAAAGTATATATATTCTTGATCAGCATCAATAGCCGAGTCGATTGAGCCATGTCTGTCTGTCCGTCCGTCCGTCTGTCCGTCTGTCCGTCCCCTTCAGCGCCTAATGCTCAAAGACTATAAGAGCTAGAGCAACGATGTTTTGGATCCAGACTTCTGTGATATGTCACTGCTCCAAAAATATTTCAAAACTTTGCCCCGCCCACTTCCGCCCCCACAAAGGGCGAAAATCTGTGGCATCCACAATTTCGACGATACGAGAAAACTAAAAACGCAGAATCATAGAGAATGACAATATCTATCCGGTTGCTGAATTTGGATCAGATCAGATAATTTTTGTAGCCAAAAGGAACAAATCAATTTGCATTGGCTACGCAGCGCCCGACGTCACGCTCAGACTGATTTTCTTTCTCTCTCGCACGCATTCTTTGTCATGTCGTTTAATATTAGCGGCGTCTGCCGGAGGAGAGCCATACTGACTTAGTATCGGGTATAACTGTAGAGTTGCGGTGACCGCAGCAACTCACAACGTTCCCCCTCGTTTTTTGTATACACTTGTGTAACAGTGCGTGGTGCCATTACAATGTTCCGTTTTGCTTTCTGTCTATGCAATCAATGACTACATTTTAAAACAGGAACTGGTTACGTACCTGTTTTGATAATTGGAAAACACTAAGGAGTGCCGCAATAAAGAGGGTCCGGACTCCAAGTGCACAACTGCTGCGGGGGATTGATGAACACATCCTTTTTATAAAACTCAAATCGCATATCTGTAAATGAAATTGGGATGTTAGCCAATTTTACGATTTATTTATAATATATTTATACTGTACTTAACAAACTTTATTTTCTCCGATATCACAGAATATCGTAAAATTATCGAGCAGACGGACATGTGTATTTCGACTCGACTTCACTACTGATCAAGAATATAAATGCTTTAAGGTTGTTTGTACAATTACATACCTCTGGTTGAGAATGTATTCTGAGAACCATTTATAAAAAAGGACAAACAGACAAAAATTAATGTTACACAGAAGTTATGTCTAGTTAGAAGTACATATGTTAAAACATATTCACAGTACCTCAGTAAAATTAATAAATGGGCCAGATTTGTTTTCGATGCTACCGTTATGTTAATAGCTGTTTTTTCTTTTCAGGTATACACTTTTTATCTCTTATCCTTTGTGATGCTATTAAGTTTTTACAAGCTAATGATCCTGTTCGGAGCAGCAGCCGTTAATAGCTCTTAAGTCACGTCTCTCTAAAGTTTTCTGTTATCGCGCTCAGCCTATGTACACTCTCAGTGCATACACGCACACACCTACATATTTAAAGTTATTACTTATTATAAGCCACTGCTTCGACCCTGCCTTCTCGCTAGTCGATCGTTCCTATTCGAGGCAGTCGGTCTGTAGTAGTCTTTGTCGCCCAAAACGCCTAATACCTAAATATAAGACCACGGCCACGGCCTCGAACAAAAAAACACACGAACAATACCAAACAAGAAACGTCGAATTGTAACCTTAAAAACGGAGCAATTATTTTCTTGTAAATTTTGGAGACAGAGTTGCCGAAAAAGCTCGACAGCTTCCAACAGATCCCGTGGAATAAGTAATTAAATGGTTAAGTGCATTTAGTAATTTGTAAAGGTTTTCATTTAAAATGCGCGCGGGAACCAACTATCTAAGAAGGAGCAGACTAATTTCAAATTGTATTATCAAAGTCGATTTGCTAAAGCAATCTTCGGAATCGTCAGCAATTTTATAGCAATCGTCTGAATATTATATTATATATGTTCAGGAAAAATGATTATAAACGTTATAAAATGATTTTATATAAAATTATACTCTCTTACATATCACATCTCTTACACGCTGTTAACGAACGAAGCTTATACAAGAAGAGGGTGGCGCTGGAGAATAAAATCACTTATATTTTGATGTTGAATCTGCACAACATTTTTTTCCCCGTGTGAATCAAATAAACGAACATCGTTGTACAAACAACCCTCAACAAGTGCAACAGGAAAAGTAAAGTGCCCAAATACTCAACAATTAACTACCCGAACCAATATAACATAAATAATAACACATAAAACCCACGGCCTGCGAATAAAATATTTAATAAATGTCATACTATGCCTAAGGATGCATGTCCGAGGCGGTGCTCGGTAGCTAATATCCGGACTCTGGATACTTGTCGACCTCCAGTTTCAAATAAGGCTTCCCGGGACAAGCGGGCTATGCCAAACCAGTGCCCAAAGCGACGGGAGGAGACTAGGTCCACCGTCTCGAGGCTTCAAGCGCTGCGAGGAGGGGTCCGAAAAGCCAGGCGGGCCAATCCACGTCGGGGGGCCGCAAGGGCGACCCAGTTACCATGGTGGCTGCCTTGCATAGCGATATGGCGGCTGGTAGACGCCCTGAGACCGGGAAACCCTTGACAACCCAGGTAGGTGACGCTTCTGCCTCGAAAGACAGGCCCAAGTTTCAGGACAAGAGACGTGCGGCATTCATCTTGGGCAACGATGACACGGTGTTCCTGACGTCTGCCGTCTGAAGCGCGGTGATGGGCCAAAACAGCTCTGTCAGACTACCAGCCAGCCAAAGCAGCCAAGGGCGCAGCCAAGTCGCCAGCAAGCGACAATGCTCGTCGGAAGGCACCACCAGCAAGTTCAACAGGCCAAAAGGACGAAAACCCAGAGCAATCGTTCGATTGCCGAGATTGCGAAAGAAAAAACCCACATGGGAGTCCTATACAGTTGCTCCAAAGCCGACAGGTTCCTCGGGACAAATGGCACCTCGTAGAAAACGAGCTCCATGACCGCTTCCTTCAGAAGTTGGAGAACGGAGGACCACCGCCCAAATGTGAGGACGCCGGGTGGCAGAGTGAAAGCCATGCTCGCTCGGCGGCCCTCTATATAAAGGCGATCGCGTCGCTCAAAGAGGTCTACCCAGGAGACAAGCTGGAAGCCCTTAAATAGGAGCCCTTAAATCTCCAGCCAACCGAGGGCCAGAGCATGCGTCTCGGCGAAGCCAGTGAGGCTTCTCAGCGATAAGGAAGGTATTTTTGACTATGGCTACAAAAAGGTCGTAGTCAGCAGCATCCTTGCAAAAAAAAAGATTTGCACTTATTCTTTCACCCAAATTTCAGCAATGAAGACCAAACAGCCGGGAGCCTCGAAGGCCAGGAGCGCCAACTGAGGATCTGCCCCACGTACATGGGTCACGACCCTTGGAGCCCTGGTCTTGGTATAAGTTCTGTAGCGAAATCGGGAACAACTCAGAGCTTTCGCGCCTGCGCAGAGTTCTGTTGAAGACTACTCCCACCGTGTGCTACTTGAAGAACGCCAACCAGTCTTGGACTACGTCCAGCAATGAGTCGCCAAATTTTCTCCTTAATTAAGTATTACTTCCCTGAAATGCGATGAAAACAGACCCAACTACTTCGAGCCTCCGTCTGTCGTCTTAAATGCCATCCTGATCCTGCTAAACCAGGAGAACATTTCCTGGGCGATCAGAAGCTTTAAACCTTACAAGTCCGCGGGGCCAGACGGCATTTTCCCTGCCCAACTGATTCACGCGGTACATAAAGCCATTCATTGGCTCAAAATAATTTACGAGGGAATCTTCTCCCACGGGTGCATCCCTGAAACCTTGCTTCAGAACAAAGTCGTTTTCATTCCCAAGGCAGGCAAGTCCTCCCGCACTGCCCCAAAAGATTTCAGACCCATTAGTCTATCGTCTTTGCTTCTGAAGGCGATGGAACGGCTCCTGGGGCTGCATTTCACGGCGTGTATTCCGCACAGTCTGATCTCAGACTCCCAGCATGCCTATCGGAAGGGAAGATCTACCGAAACGGCCCCACAATCAATCACATCGATCATCGAAGCGTCCCTTAACTTTAAGGAGTACAACTTAGTAGCCTTCCTCGACATAGAAGGCGCCTTTAATAACATCCTTCCGACCGCCATCACTGGCGCACTGACGGACCTAGGGGATGACTTCAGGACGGTGAGCCTTATCGATCAGATGCTACAATGCAGGACGGTTGAGGCATCACTGGGGACGTCAACGTCCACCAGATTTGTCAGCAGAGGCACACTGCAGGGCGGAGTCCTCTCGGCCCTCCTATGGAACGCGCCAGTCAACGAACTGCTGCGGGAGATAGAGGGGGGTGGCTGACGCGTTGTGGCGTATGCGGACGATGTTGCCATAACATTCTCCGGTCAATTTTCGCAGACGTTGTGTGAGTGCATGACAAGTACTCTCACGAAGATGTCGAGATGGGCAGACAAATGCGGGTTGGGAGTCAACCCGTCTAAAACGGAACTTCTGCTCTTCACTAAGAAGTACAAAGTCCCGGTACTGACTCCCCCAAAACTCTATGGGGAAGCGCTAGCCTTTAGCAACAATGCCAAGTATGTTGGCCTAAACCTCGACAGAAAGCTCGATTGGATACTGAGCATAGAGGGTAGAGTAAAGAAGGCCACAGTGGCCCTCCATACAATCATGCTCTATGGAGTGGTAGTCTGGTGGCCAGCCCTAATGAACTTGTCTGAACAGACTCAGTAGAGCTATGTAGAGCTTCTCTGTATCGTTCCAATTTTAGTATATGTTCTGCCGAAGCAAGAGCATAAATGGACCGCGTCCGCGGTTGAGCACTCGGGAATCCTGACCAGACTCCCGCAATTATCGGAGAGGACAGATTATTGTATCCCCAGTGATCACCTCTCGACGCCTTTCTAGGTATCAATCCCACCTAGGGAGGACTGGTAGATGGGCGAACCAGGACCTGCAAATGTCCACCTCTACACTGATGGCTCAAAGTTAGACGGCCGCGTGGGAGGCGGAGTCTGTAGTGTGTTCCAAGCGGAGGTTGTGGCCATCAAGGAGGCCATTCCTATCGTCTCCAAACTACTTCTAGACACGCACTTAGAGTCCGTCTTCTCGGACAGCCAAGCAGCTATTAAAGCTTTAGGCTCAATATAGTAGAGCTCAGTGACTGTAAACGACTGCCGCAGGTCTCTACACGAGATCGAAGAGAAGTTAGATCTCTTTCTTAAATGGGTCCCCGGACATAGGGACATCGCGGGGAATAATGCCGCCGACGAGCTAGCCAGGCAAGGCACTACAAATCCTCTCCTATTAGAGAGGGAGCAAGTAACGATGCCCTTAGCTACGTGTAGATGGCAGCGGGAGATGGCAGCAAACCATCTCCTGTAAAGTCTCGAGATCGATATGGCCATATTGCTCCCCCAGATCCCACCTTTACTTAACCTAACTTTACTTGCATAGTGGATCTTTAATGAGTATGGATCTATCGCTAGGGATAGTCCAGGGTATATCAATAGGAGGAGGAGTAAGAGTTTGACTGCAGGAGCAAGTAGACGTGCGTTGAGAACGAAGAAAAAGACACTTATCTGTAACCACTCGAAGTTAAAACAAATACGATAAAACGACGTGTGGCGTATATTTTATGGAGTTTCTGGAGCGGATTCTTATTCACTTGTGGGGAGCCCACCAAGGATCCCTACAATTAGCGACCCCACATTAAGCAATGTAGAGAAGTTTAATCTTATTAGCTTGCTTAGAAAAAGAAGCGCAGGAGTAGTAGTAGGCTTACCAAGTCAACGAGCAGAATTATCCTTAGTGCCAAGAAGGAAGTGTATGATGACGATTGCTTAATATTTTAAAATAAATATTTACAAAACATGCAAGCTTTCAGTCGCAACCCGCTTTCAGTTTGAAAGTTGCCGCAAAAGGGCACA